CACTATTTTTGTAATATCCCAAATTTTATGGATTTGAGTAAAGCATGATGAAGGAGAAATTTTTAGAGAAATTGTTGAGATTAAGACCTTTAAAATATGGTCTAAATAATTATAAAGTTAATTTCAGGAATTTAGGACCTATTTTCTTGGAAATTCAAGGAAAAATAGTTAGAGGATAATTTTTGAGCTGAGATTTTTAGGAAAATTATTTCATGGACTAAAGAAGCTAATGGAAGAAGAAAATCCATATAAAATATCCAGGTTTGATTTCTGGAATTATCTGATTATCCTGGAAAAATAGAGAAGGATCAAATTGAAGGGAAAATGAAGACCAAAGGGTATAATAGTTATTTCACACCCCCTTACCGACTTATTCTACCCTAATATCTTCTCCCTTCTTATTTTTCCTCTGCCATTCGAAGTGCAAACAGAGGGAGAGCTGAGAGAGTCTGAGAAAGATCAAGAAAGGGAAAGGCTGGTAGAGGAGAGAATCGGTTCGTCTAAAAGTGGAAATCAAACAAGGTGAGTCTCCTGAATCTTCTTCCATCTTTATTTTCTGTTATTTGGTCATGTGTGCAAGACGATGGTGAAGATGAAATCTGGTTTTTGAGGGAGAAAGTGAACAGCATGACAGTTAAGCTGTAGAAATGTGCTTAATGGTTAGGATGAAGGTGTGGTTGAGATTTCTGCACTTGCTTGTCACGGTTGATTGCTCTGGTTAAAGTTTCTGAAACAGGAGTTTGAGTATTTAAGGAAATGGCTTCTGGTTTGGGTAATAGATGATTAACAAGTCTAAATATAATTAATTATTTTCTGGTTGTATGATTATAATATGTTGATTTTATATGCTCTGTCTGGTTATTGAGGGATCGAAGAGTGCGTGCTTTGAATAAGAAAAATTTCAGAGTTAAGGAGGGAAGGATGCTGTTCGATTTTGCTGGTCAAGAAGCATTTGAATGCTAAAACGAAACGCATGAGCTGTATATATATATATATATATATATATATATAGGACCAAGCCTTTTGAGACGGAGTATTGGGAGAAAGAGTTGGGCTGATTCTAATTTAATGATATTCTCGAAGACATGTTCGGACCCAACATCCCAAATGTTTATGTTGATACGTGGCCTCCATTCTTGAAAGGCAAATGGAAAGAGATAGTATAAAATAGTGCTACATAATATTTTGGGGTGAAGGCCGTATGGTCTAATGGAAGAAGGAGTTATTATTTTGTTTGGGCTAAAAACCGCTGGATAGGAAAGGGGCAAATTGAGCTTGAATATTTGAATGCTACATGGATTGGAAAGTGATTGTTCTTTAAATCTGGAATTTTAATAAAAGGAGGAATTGTTGAATTTGAGAACCAAAATCTGATTCGAAGTTTATTGGGTTGTTGATTTATTTTTGAAGCCTAGGAATAAATGATCTATAGATATATAAATATTAATTTGCTCTTACCTATATAAATTATAGGATTTGATATTTGTTCAAGTCCATTAAGAAGAGAGCCAAGGAAGAAGCAAGGGGAAGTTAGTACGGAAGAAAAAGCAAAAAGTAGTAACTCTTTTCCTTTAATGTGATTGTGCATTGATTGCCACATGCTTGGATGTGCCTTTATGCTGATTGTGCATGAGAACATGTAAGTTACCTTTGCATAATAATATTTGTCATGACAATATGCGCTGGTTTCCATTTATTTTGGAATGTGGGCGCGATAGATAGCGATTAGCTATATGGGTGTATGGTGTATATGCATCATTGATTATACTTGGATGCAAGGTGTTGTTCTCTTTGGCCTGTGTAGCATGTTGTTTGTGATCTTGTATGATTACGTGAGGGAAATTTGTTACTATTGGGATTCTTTAGAATCTCACCCCTTCTTCCATGTAATACAGCAAGAGCAAGTACTCTTAAGGGCAAGGGAGTAGTGATCGGTGGAGTTTAAAGGTGCAAGAAGCTGGCGATCATTTGTACATATATATTTTGTTTAAAATGCATCTTATTTTGGAGTAAAGATATATATTGTATATCTAGTTTGGTATGTAAATATTCCTCCATAAGGAGATGACTAAGGGCAGATAGATCATAATGACTGCTATTGAAGGAAATGGTCAAATTTTTTGATATAATTATTATTTGGCCTAAAATTATGTGTATCTAATTACGTATCTCGTCGTGTGAGCCAATGGCCAGGGTGTCAAATGTTAAACCCTATTGGCTATAGTTGACTTAATTCAGGATTCGAAGGGCCGGATGGAAATAAAAATATATATATATAATTCCCAGGATGAAACCTGGCTTTTAATGGATCATGATTAAATAGAATAATTATGCTAGTATATAAGGGATAGGTGTGACAATTTTCACTTGAGCTTTATATATGCGAAACAAAAGCAATTGCATTAGGTTAAAGAGGTCACAATACTTAACAAAAAATGGTCGGTCGTCTCTGGGGCGCACTATGAGAAAGACCGACTCAGAAACACGGGCATTCCTTCTCCACTTACAGAGGGGTACTATTCATTTTGTTTATAAGTGAATGGCTTCTATATCCCCCAAATCTTTATGATTTCATCTCCGTCCACAACTCCCACAACTCAAGTGAAATATATGTATTTCCTCCACACTAGCTATCAAATATCTTTTGTTTGTATACTTCAAAAATTAATGGGCTGCATGACATTATTGCGTATATTTGATTTGCTTCGATTAAGGCACTTCACTGCACCGATGGTTCATTTCATTGGGTAACGCAGAAAACCATAGGTTGTCATGGATCATCATCGCCAAGCCTTCTTGGTAGAACCTTACGCGATGCACACCCAAAGTGTTGAGTTATGCCTAAAATGCCGCAGGATTAAAATATAAATAAATAAAAAGTTATTGGACCATATATTGGGAATAAAAATAAATAAATTAATATACTTGATTTGACTTTATAAATATTTGTTATCCCTTGATATTATAACAGTTGATATTATGTTTGGTTTAGACTTGATTTTGAAGTAATGATTTGTGCATCATGTACAGGTCAAGAATTCATTATCATCAAATCTATTGTGACTACGTGCTATTTAATACACACAAATTTTTTACCTTCTTTCAGAAAGTCTTGATTTGTCTCTTCACCCAGACAATATGATATTGCTGCAGGTAACGTTTTGTTTTACTTTGTAATACTCATTTGCGTGAGCCCTCAAGTTTCCTTGCACATTCCTCTTTCATCAAAAGAGTACATAGGCCTGTTGTACTCTATATTACTAGGATCAATTGTCTCCCAACTTGCTATTTAATATGTCATGTAAGATCCTTGGCATGCAGAATCAAGATATCATATAATTAATTAAGAACTGAATTAAAGCATACCTACATCTCCCTCCATGTTGCAATACTAGCCATATGTACAATTCCAGCTTTGATCATGGCACAAACGAAGCTTCAAACAATAGCGTGCTTTCTCCTTGTCCCCCTTGTAAAACAGTAACACTTATAGGAAATAGAAATTCAAAAGATGAAGCTTGAAGTATAAAGAGAGGCGAATGATAGTAATGGAGCTTGACGTTGAAGGTACATGATGATATGGCCCCATTGTGGCAGCTTAATACCTTTCCCTTCCTTTAGGCAAAATATATATAATGGCGGCTCGAAGTTTTCTGATCAAGCCACAAGATAACTTAATTAAAATCGTAATACTAAAGTGCAAGGCCTGACCGACTGGCAGGTTTCTTCTAATTCAAAGCACGACTTATTAAATGCCTCTCACCTATAAAATTCACAAGTTGTAGCATGCATGGACGGTGTCATATGATTTGGCTTAGCTGATTTTTTTTCCCTTAATGAAGTAATGGCGCTAGTTTTATATTGTTTTTATTTGTTTTGTCGTATATAAACTAACAGCTTGTATTATCAGTTCATGACAGTGCCTTTTAGTCGTCAAAGCCGCTCCTGTTGTACTTTTTTATGAACTGCGACTTTGGAACTCACTGACTCCTTTCTAAGATTCTTCGGACACTGGGAATATGTCAAAGCACGCTTGCGACTTTTCTTTCTCTGTTTCCTTTTTGGCCCTTTAATGTATTAAAAAGGTGTCTTCATTAATGACTCAATATATATTGCGAAAAAAGGAAGTAAATGTATTTTATATATATAGGAAATGGATCGGACTAATGCTTTCCATCTCAGCTAAAGAAAATGCCCTAAACCTTAATCTTAATCAATTTAATTTAATTTAATATGTATTTGATTTCACATTGAAAACTACCAAAACCTACCTGCTTACACTGAAATCATAGCTTTTAGATTAAGTTTTCCTTAAAATCAGAATATTTGTGTGTGCAGTAGATTTTTTTATCTTAACTAGAAGTGAATATTTCGAAACTAATTAATCATGAATCAAAACATCATTCCTTTTTTACATTTGTGGAAGCTAGGTCGCTTTCTTTTGTGTCTTTTCTTGGTCATCACATATGCATTGGGCATAAAATAGAATTAGGAAAAAAAAAAGAAAGTGGGGCTCAAATTATAAAAAAAAAAATCCTATTTATTGCTGGGAAAAAATATGATTTTTTACAAAACAAATTGAGATAAATAGTGTATATAAGCATACATTTAGTTTAGTACAAGATGAATCTATGTGTATACATGCACATGATAGCGATACACACACACACACACACACACATATATCCCATTATAATACCTAGTAACAGGATAGATCCGATGTGTCTATATCAAATGCAAGAAATGATTTGTGTTATATACAATTTATTTATAGCGTAACTTGCTATAACTTAGCTTTTACGTTATATAACAACAACAGCAACATCTGTTAACCATTTTATTTTGCATATATATGACAGAATCATAAGAAAGTCTAAGAAAGCGCCTTGCATGTTTATCATGCAAGAATAGACGGAGTACTAATGCATAACGAAATTAAAAACATCCTACACACGTAATTGAGTTACATGCAGCATTTGGAAACTTCGCTTGTTTCCCAATTAATTCTGTACACGTCCTACCTCTCCATTATTCTTGTTTTGATGAGCAGAGTGCCCTACCCCAGGGCTGTGACCTGGGTCTGTAGGTCGGAAATCGGTTTTGGACCCTTCAGCCAAAGAATATTCACCGTTTGGAGGACTCTGAACAACCACCTTTGCTTTTATATCTTTAGTTTCCTCTCCAAATTTCCGATGACCAACCCCAGGACTGGTTCCTGGATTTGTTGGTCGATAAGCACTTACATGATCTCTATTTGACTCTTCAGAGACAGCATTCATGTGTTGATTCGGTGTTGTGGATGAGTCAACAACCTTCTCTGCTGATGTAGTAACGTTAATATCAAACAACGTAGTATCTTTGCTCGTCAAATGTTGGTTCAGTGACTTTATCTGCCTTCCCTGAGTTATAAGAAACTCAGGGAAAGCGACTAGTATGGCAAGAACAGCTACATATTTGTGTATGGCTTCAAGTCCACCCATAACTAGAGAATGGAAGATAAAGCTTCAGGGTTTTGAATAGAGGGAATGGCTTTATCTAGATTTAAGGAAGTAGACGAAATGGAGTGCAGGTGATTTGAGAAGTTCTCGGGATGTTAGGGGGATTTATAATCTAGTTTGAGTATCATATCATTGCCTTGTTGAGATTCTAATTATTAAGATTTAGCTAATCATGCCATTTGACTAAATGTGGACCGTTGATATGTAATGTATATTAGAGGGCTCTCATCATGTGGGGGAATATGTTCTTTTTGCGTATATATAAACCTTCTGAATGTTTGATTAGTTCATATTTCCATTGTACATATCATCTTTGGGGCACCTCTTCAGTCGCAGTTGGTTGTATTTCTTTATTCTTACGGATACTCACAGGTATGGAAATGACCTTACATGGTGGGCTAAAAGACCTTTATAATATCTAATATAGAATGGTAGGTTCGACTGGCGCACTATCAACAAGGTCGACCCAGAAACATGAGAATTCTCTTCTGGGCCTTCTACACTGGTTTACTATTTAATAAATTTATATGCAAGTGAATGGCCTCTGTTCACTAATCTTTATAATATCGTTGGCAACAAAATCAAGTGAAATACACAAGTCTTTTACTACTTGCATTATCAAATATATTTTGCTTGTATACTTTAAAAATCGATGGGTTTCATGATCGTCATGTCTAGCCGCAAGCGCAAAGGTAAAGAGAAAGATTCTCAAATCTAAATAAGGCTTCCAGTAATCATATATTTGATTTGCTTGGACTTAGGTCCTTCACTGCATTTTTTTTTTTCCGGAGCAAAAAGGTTCTTCACTGCATTTATCGTGTATTTGACTGGGTAATGCAGAAGACCAAATGTTATTGTCGTGGATAATCATCACCAAGCCTTCCTCTGGTAGGGCCCTTCCTCTGGTAGGGCCCAAATTTCAAATTTGATGGCTCACCGTTTTCTTGTCATCTGTTCTATCTTCTTCATCATCACCTCTGTCCAAAGTATAAACCCAGGTGTATCCTTCGGTCCTTAATATAAGACGTCATTTGATAGTTGATATTGATCCTATATATAAGATCTATTTCACATGTTTATCAAATTTTTTTCAAATTAACCTTAATGATATTCCCTGAACAAATGATTAAGTAGGAGAGGGAGAAAGAGAATTAAAGAAGATGGTTAGAGTATTTTAAAAAAAAAACATATCATATTAACTAATTTAACTAATATTTTTAATCTAATCAAATTAGTTAGTTAGTAATATAGATTTTATCTCCTGATCATATCTCTTTAGTTGAACAGTCTCCTATATGAAGTTTAACTTTCCCTTAGGGATACAACTTGTGTTAAGTCTCTGATGCAGAATATATGCATTCGCTTTTATCAATATATAATAATTATGCATACCCAAATTGAGCAACATTTCACTCTATTTTAATTTTTCTATGGACCAAAATATTCTGGAAAATATATAATAAATTAGAAGTTACAGGTCAAACACTCTATATAAGTACGTCCACAAAGAAAAAGGTTATGACTGATTATGGTTACAAAAGGATGGCTTATATGAGAGAAGAGATTCGGTTCTTTAGTAGTCATGATGAGAAAGATACGCCTTGTTCATTTTTGAAGCATCGATCATATATACATACACACGACTTTTTCATTTTTGAACCATCGATCATATGTGTGTTTGTGTGTATATATAGAGAGATAGACGCGCGCGCACATGGCGCCTGGTATCTAAAGATATCATGCAGCTTTATTTCACCATTTTCTATAGAGTCTAGTTAATTAAATACTACTTTTAATTTTTAATATAATAGGCAGTTTTTAGTTCAAATTGAATTATAAATTAGATTTTATATTAAAAATTAAAAATAGTATTGTCTGATATATATACTCGGTTCATCAATAGCAATCAATAGTCCATAAAATGATTATATAATACTACCTCCAGTCCTTAATATAAGAGCTTATTTGACTTTTATTTTGATCCTAAATATAAGACCCCAATCCACTTTGTTTATCATATTTATGTATTTTTTTTCAAAGAAGTTCTTCTAATAATGATAGCTCTAACCAATACACTTAATTAATAAGGATATTTTAGGAAAAACAACACATATTCATTACAAATAACTAACTTAACTTATTTCATTAATCTTCTCAAATTAGTCAACTAGCTCTTATAATTATAACCGGAGGTGGTATCAACACTAGTCTTAGCTCCCTTTAACACAGCCCTCACATGTCACTAAAAAGTTAGAGAAGGGGGAATAACAGCACAACTTAGTGCAGTTTCACCAAAATAGACATGATAAGAACTGCAGTCACTACGTTAATTAAGCAGTTCAAATACGCAAGTTTTGTATATATTCAAAGTTGACAAAAATATGGAACAAGAGAATCACATGTATAGTAAAAACTTCCCGTGTCAGCTACTTTTATCCCAGGCATTGCCCCAAAGTGTCCCCATGACAATGGAAGAAATGCCTTAATTAGTTAATTAATTAAGTAAATTAAAATAACATGATAATGATGAAGGGGCATACAAAAGTCAAGTCAAAGGCGACAACACCACATGCTCGTGTGCAGGATATCCCATGCCTTACCACTAGAATTTGTCAGATTTACACCACTCTTGTCCTGATTAAACAGTTAGATTTACTCCTAATTATAATTATAAGATTTTAATTCATTGTATCTCTATTATTTGTTTTTTTAAAACTAATTAATCTAATTTATAAATTAATATATAATCCAATATTACACATGAATATTTTAATGAGATAAAATTAAATAATTTATTTAGCTTTTCCAGTCTATCCAAATTAATTAATTAACTCTCATGTCAAGAAACCGATAATTAGAATATTAATTAATTTCCATTAAAAATCAAAGAAGGAAATAATGAGCCATAACATATTCAGAGGTGGCAGAGTCAAATGGTGTCATACACTAACATTTGGTGCTAAGCTTCACTGCCACGCTCTGTGCAAGTGGGAATTAATACGGCGAATGTGCCAAAAGATTGGCCCCTGGGGTTGTGGAACCCTCTCTTTTGTTTCGCCTCCATGAAAGTACATCAAATTAATGGACAAAGTAATATATTGATCTTTAATATAAAAACTAGTTGACTAATTTGAGTAGATTAAAAAAATTAGTTAAATTAGTTATTTGTAATAAATAGGTGTTATCTTTTCTAAAATATCCTTTCTAATCAAATGTATTAACTAGAACTACCATTATTATAAGAACTACCTTAGAAAAAAATAGACAAATATAAAAAAGTAAAGTAGACTGGGATCTTATATTTAGGATCAAAATAAAAGTTAAATAAGCTCTTATATTAAGAATAAGAGGTGGTATTAATTGATGGGAGCACTATTATTTTATGCTGACTTCGTTAATTTATATGCAAAACAAGAGCAAAGTGCATTTAGTTATTGGCGTTTGGTGACTAGCTAGGCTGTGCCGCTGTATAGCACAAGTGGTATTCCGTATTCGTTTAATTAAAAATATCAGAACTTTCATCGAAAGCTTCAACTAGATAAACTCGAGCCGCAAGATACATATATAGAAGAATCTTTGGGGTCCCTTTCATTGAATCTCAACCGCATAATGATCAAATTAACTAATCATATAATAAAGTCACTTGAGGGGAAAAAATAAATATTATCAATAGTCTCCTAATATGTTTTTCAGACTATCAAGTAGACTATACACTTTTTTAACATTGTATAAAATATAAATTAGTAATCTTATAGTTCATAATTTATAAACAGTACTGAAATAATTATTATAAATTTTATAATTTATATTCATTTAATATCATATCACTCAAATTCTTGTTCATTACATACAAGAGAAGGTCACATGAAGGTGTAAGAAATTGCAAGAGACCTACTCTTCGCTGCAAATATGTTTGAAGTGCATTCAACAAGGGAACTGAAAAATTGATGATTGCATACATACAAGTGATTTTGACACCACATTACTGTAACTTAAAAGTAGTAAGTTTATAATTCCTTTTTCAACAATATATGGGTACTTGGATTTGCTTTCTAGAAGTGATGATACGCCTTTTCATTTTTGAAGCATCGATCACACACACACGCCTTTTTCATTTTTGAATCATCGATCATATATACACACACACATATATATATAGACACACACATGGCGCTTGGAATTTAAAGATATCATGCAGCTTTATTTCACCATTTTCTATAGAGTCTGGTTAATCAAAATGAATTATAAATTAGATCTTATATTAAAAATTGAAAATAGTATTGTCTGATATATACTCGGTTCATCAATAACAATCAATAATCCATAAAATAATTATATAATATCAACACTAGCTAGTCTTAGCTCCCTTTAACACAGTCCTCATATATCACTAAAAAGTTAGAGAAGGGGGAATAACAGCACAACTTAGTGCAGTTTCATCAAAAAGATATGATAAGAACTCGAGTCAAATATGCTAATTAAGCAGTTCAAATACGCAAGTTTTGTATATATTCAAAGTTGAAAAAAATATGGAACAAGAAAAAGAATCACATATATAGTAAGATCTTCCACTGTCAACCACTTTTATCCCAAGGCATTGCACCAAAGTGCCCCCATGGCAACGGAAGAAATGCCTTAATTAATCAATCAATTAATTAATTAATTAATTAAGTAAATTAAAATAACAAGTAATGATGAAGGGGCAAACAAAAGTCAAGTCAAAGGCGACAGCACCACATGCTTGTGTGCAGGATATCCCATGCCTTACCACTAGGATTTGTCAGATTTACACTTCTCTTGTCCTGATTAAACAGTTAGATTTACTCCTAATTATAATTATAAGATTTTAATTCATTTTATCTCTATTATTTATTATTTTTTAAACTAATTAATCTAACTTACAGATTAATATATAATCTAATATTACACATGACTACTTTAAAGAGATAAAATTAAATAATTTATTTAGCATCGTTAATCTATCTAAATTAATTAATTAAGTAACTCTTATATTAAGGAGCAGATAATTAGAATATTAATTAATTTCCATTAAGAATCAAAGAAGGAAATAACGGGCCATAACATATTCAGAGGTGGCAGAGTCAAATGGTGTCATACATTAACATTTGGTGCTAAGCTTCACTGCCACGCTCTGTGCAAGTGGGAATTAATATGGCGAATCTGCCAAAAGATTGGCTCCTGGGGTTGTGGAACCCTCTCTTCTGTGTCGCCTCCATAAAAGTACATCAAATTAATGGACAAAGTAATACATTGGATATATTAATTAATGAGAGCACTATTATTGTACGCTAACTTCGTTAATTCATATGTAAAACAAAAGCAAAGTGCATTTAGCTAGTGGTGTTTGGTGACTAGCTAGGCTGTGCCGCTGTATAGAACAAGTGGTATTCCGTACTCGTTTAATTGAAAAAATCAGAGCTTTCATCAAAGCTTCAAATAAACTTAATAAACATGAGCCGCAAGATACATATATGGAAGAATCTTTTGGGTCCCTTTCATTGAATCTCAACCGCATAATGATCAAATTAACTAATCATAGAACGAAGTCACTTGAGGGGAAAAAAATAAATATCATCAATAGTCTCCTAATATACTATACACTTTTTTTACATTGTATAAAATATAAATTAGTAATCTTACAGTTCATAATTTATAAACAGTACTGAAATAATTATTATAAATTTTATAATTTATATTCATTTAATATCATATCATTCAAATTCTTGCTCATGACATGCGAGAGAAGCTCATATGAAGGAGTGAGAAATTGCAAGAGACTCACTCTTCGCTGCAAATATATTTGAAGTGTATTCAAGAAGGGAACTGAAAAATTGATGATTGCTTTGTTTAAGAATACAGAACTACGCTCTCCACCATGAGGAAATCATAAAACGTTCTCGTAATAATAACTTCTGTCAGGGATCTTTGTTGTGTGGCCAAAATGATAGGCAGGGACGTAGGGTAGCATAAAGGGAGAAAATCCAACAGAATTACAAGACCATATTCTTGCATACATACAAGTGATTTTGACACCACATTATTGTAACTTAAAAGTAGCAAGTTTATAATTCCTTTTTCAACAATATATGGGTATTTGGATTTGCTTTTTAAAAGTGATTTTGCTGTAAATGAAATAATTATATAAAAAAAAACTGTCTCAAATTGCACAAAAAAGTACTCTATTTTTGGGTGGTTTTAAAGGTTGGATGATCCCCCATCTCTTTTAAAGTGAACTCTATTCTTTTTTTTTTTTTTGGTTATCCAAAATATTCTCTCACCCAAATAGTAAGAGACTAATCTTTCCGGATACTGTCAGGCATCATAATGGGGATCCCTCCTAACAATATTTTTCTCCATACACACCGTTCTATAGATCAAACCCGAAATGTTTAAGGTGCTTAAATCCTTTTCACTTGGACCAATACTTGTTGGTAAATGAACTCTATTTGATATGAGACTTTTTCACTTCCACCAACACCGACGTCTCAAACTCCATTCGAGTCTACTGTCCAATGGACAAATATGCTTCTCTCTTCTAAAGATGAAAACTTGGTATGCAGTAACCCAGCCCAATAACCCCTCCGTCACTCTCCAAAGGCTCTCACATACACTAGTGGGCTTTCAAGGATTTTGTAGATTAACATTGTAACAAGACTCTAATTAATGCCACTTTGACAGTACAAGCGTGCCAAATTTGAATCTAATACATTAACCATTTGGAGCTAAAAGCAAATAATCAATTATAAAAATTTAACATGAAAAAATTCCTTTCGATGTGAGTGAAGTAAACAATCACATCCCAAGACAAGTCCACTGTCACCAAGGTTACAATATGTTCAAATGTTTTATCTATTACCAAGCTCACCCACGAAATGAAAACTTTTACTTCATCCCAAAAATTACCAATAGATCATTGTGTGTGTGTGTGACTAACTACAACTATAGAGCAGAATAAGCATCTCTAGGCCAAAGATACAACCAAATCCGTGTGGGGTATAGACCATTAAATTGAAGATTGATTAATGCGAGACTCCCATATAAAATTTCAATCAGAATTGAGTCTAGTCGAATGAGTTAATAGTTCACAAAGAGATGAATCACGATTCAAATTTTTGTTGGGAGAGATGTCTGCATTTAGTGTTCTATAATACCTTAAACAGGTTTCTAACTGTGCCTATCCCAAAAAAAAAAATTCACTTGATTCTCTCTCTTTTCGGTATGTATATTTGTGGGAAAATCTGGAAATATCTGCATACTCAAAAAAAAAAAAAAGCGAAGGAACTCTTCTTTTTTCGCGCTCTCATGCTCGCATTTGGGTTCCCATTTGGTGCTCATCAGGTGATGAGCACCCAATGCTCATCACCTGATGAGCAATCTGGACCGTCCAAATTTAATTTGGACGGTCCAGATTTAATATCATTAAATAATTATTTTAAAATAGAAAAATTATATTTTTAAAAAATAATAGTTATGAGATTATCTTTATTTTTTATCTTATACCTATTAAAATAATTATTTTTAAAAAAATAAAAATAAAAATAAATCTGGACCGTCCAGATCAGATCTGGACGGTCCAGATGGGTGATGAGCATTGGGTGCTCATCACCTGATGAGCACCCAATGCAAATCCCTCGCATTTGCGGCGCCGCCAACCTCTCCAGTTAGGATCGATCTTTCTTTCGTCTTTCCTCTTTTACATTAATTATAAAATAAAATCTAAAGACAACCTTTAAAATTTGGGCCATGCTCCACATAGGAGTGAAGCCCAACACAAAAACTATTCAATCACTTTCTGATTCTGGGCCGAATAGACTCAAACACAAAAAGTACAGATGATCATTTGAATGTCTGGCGTGCGTTCAAAATTTGTTCTATAATTGCACCCACATAATCATTAGTCCTGAGTTACGTCCGCGACGAAGCTTTTGTTTAGACACGAGCTTGTCTTACCACATAATCATACAATTTTGGAACTTCGATCAAAACATCTTCCGCAACAAAACAAAATATGATCAATACTTAAGAAATAAATATGTTTATTTGATGGCACGTAGATGGTACAGAGTCACCATAATCAAATCTAGACATACACAAGCATGGTACACAGGATCACAATCCTTAAATCAAATATAAACCACACACACACACACTACAATAATCTCATTATTATTACTTTACTGCTACTCTCTCTCTCTCTTCAAATATCTTATACAAAGCACACCTTGGAATCAAAGGATCTAGGATCCTAGCTAATTGGGATCTTTTACAGTTGGAGAAAGATAGAAAGAAAGAAAGAAATGGTTGGTGTAAAGAGAAAAAAATGGATCTCATACACTGCCTCACTCTTTTATATCCCGCTATCTCCCTGAATATATTATTATTATTACAACAACATTGCAAGTAGTGTACTCTAGGACAAGCAGTGGCCTAGCTAGTTGTGAGTGGAATGTCCTACGCCAGGACTGTGACCTGGGGAAGTGGGCCTAAAATCGTCAAGGTGGTTACCCAGAGCAGCCTCACTTGGCGGAGCCGGTGGAGGCACGTAGGCCTTGGCAGTCACAAGGTCACCATTCTGGTTTTGGAGGCCTTGGGACTTCACGAGGTTCCTAATTCCATGAATGGATTGGAATGTCTGGCAGAAAATGAGGGCGAGGATAATGATAGAAATAGTGAGCTTGTTTTGTGCCATGAAAACAGTTGGTTTGGTCTTTAAAGAGGGAAACTGAAAAAGAAGAAGCTTTGTAAGTATGTTGAGCTAAGAGAGATTGTCTAAGATAGCAAGAGGGAAAGGTCTGAGTGAACAAAGAAACATGAAATAGACAATTGAGTTTGAGTTGCTTAGACAGCTCTCACATGTTGCCTTTATATAGAGGTCAAGAATCATGTCTGTGGGACCTATGAATATTTGTTGCGAAATCTTTGTTGGATTCTCTCTCCCTTTCAAAGCAGTGCGCCTGGCTTGCCCCAACATTTATCCGTACGATGATAGTATTCCTATGGTTGTTAATACAAGACTTAATTTAATACGTTAGTTAAATTAGTTAATATGATATGTTTTTTCTAAAACATTCTAAGTATCTTTCTTAATTTCCTTCCTCCCCCTCTTACTTGATTATTGCTTTGGAAATAATTGATAAACTTGTTAAATAAGTTTTACATATAAAACCAACAACAGCTCTCTAATTAAGTCTTACATCAAGAACTAGAGGAATACTTAGTTCATTACCAGTTCATTTAAATAAAATTTTACAGATTATTTTTTGTATTTCTTTTAATTTCTTTTTATCAAATCTAACATACCGTCCAACTAACTCTTAAATATGATTCTTGAGACCCGGTTAAGGATGTGTTTGGCAAGCACCCCAAACCATGGTTTGAGAAAAATGTTAGCCAAACACCCTTAAAAAAATCAAAACCATGGTTTTGAGAAAAGTAGAAATTTTTTACTTTTGGAGGAAAAAGGAGAGAGTGTGAGAGCTTATAGGATATGTATCTTGTTGTTTTTTTTATAAACATATTTTTTATAAATATATTTAATCTTATATCTTATAAATATATATACATATTAATTATTTATTAATTATATTATCTTATATATTATTAATATATGTTAATAAAAAATATATTATTAACAATTTTATTCCTTCAAATTAAAATATATCATAAATATATTTTTTCTATAATTATCATATTAATTTATGCCAATTTGTATATATAAAAAGTACTTCTAATAACAACTATCCAAACACTCACACTTCTCAAAATCACTTTTTCACAAAATCTATTCTTCCCAAAATCTATTCTCCAGAAGCTATTCTTCAAACCATGATTTGGTTTCATCCAAAACACCCTAAATAGGACATGGCTTGAGCTATTCGACCAAGCAAGTGCTATTTAACTCATGACTGTACGAAGATCTCTTTTGTCTGGTCCACTTCCAACAAAAGAGTATCAAGGCCTTGTAAATTAATATTGTACTCCATTTATTAATATTATACTTTTATATTTGTGCATGAGTATTGGATATAGATTTACATATTAATGGCACCCGAATAGATTAGATATTCCATTAAATATGGTATGGAGGCACATCTATATATCTTTGAAGACGTCACTTGCACGTAGAAAAATAGATAATTCTTGGTACTAAAATAATTTTAAATTGAGGGTAACTAGGAATCTCAACTTAAAAGATAAATGTATATTTATGTTTTTATAACATCAAAAACGAATAAATTAATGAAGATCCTTATAACTAAAACTACTAGCTTATTCGCGAAGTGAATAGAATGTTAATTGTTCATTCGGCTTGTTCATATTGCAAGCAAACAAGGGATTCAAGATGGTGATGATTGCATGACCAGTTGGGGGCTAACATTGCAAGGTGGTGGGAGATTTCGGTGTATATATAGTTGTCAGGTGTTACATGATATGAAATAGAAAGTTGGGAGACAATTTGGTCGTATTTGTTGAGTAGAGGCCTATCAATATATATAGCTAGGCAACTTTTTTGTTTTTTTGGCCAATTATAGCTTAGGCAACTTGAAGTGCTCCCCTTATTAATCAGGTTTAGAAATGCAGGGTCGTTGTCGTCATCATCATCTGATTTTGTTGTTTCTGCAGAATTTCATTCTGATCGAGGCACAGACAAAGCTACTCGTCGTTTTAATAGAGTTTAATCTATGAAATATAATAATTTTATTGCATCTTAAATAAATAATCTTGGTTATTAATTAAAGTTTATAAGCATACATGACATACATTGAAAGAGGATATATATATATATATATATATATTGCGACGGCTGAAAATTGTAGATCAGGCTAGCATTTAATGAGAAGATGAAAGGAGGATAGAGAAATAGCTTTCAGAATTGATGTGATAATAAATATACCGCAAGGTGGGGGGGACAAGTTGATGCAATTCATAGACAAAGATATCTACTTTTCTATTCTGAGGGACAAATGGATAGTGGAAGCAACTTCAAGTGCTTCCTCCTTCATTTTGTAATGTACCTACCCATCCCGCTTGGCTTGCATTTGCATATTCCTGTTTGGTAAAACTTCACACAAACCTGTTTCCATTAAATCTTCGCTGCATTCGTCAAGTGATATTTATATGTAGTGTTAATCTGGATTAAATAAATTTTATTTTCTAAGACGAAAATTTAAATATTAAGTAACTGAATTGAGATAGTATGAACAAATCAATGATGTAGAATTGAATCTTAGGCTATGTGAAGTTATGGAAGTTTGGAGGAATGGAAGCCGCAATATGTATGATTCCATGCATAATATGATTTTCACTAAATTGGACACACACACACACACGTTTATATGCATTCTCATTTCTCATTCATTTGTTTGGCCTGGTTTTCTCTAAACTCTTTGTTTTTTGATGTACAGTTTGCATTCGGCGGACAAATGAGACAGCTTTTCCATTTAAGAGTGCAACTCACTACACGTAGTACATACCTTCCCCTTCCTGTCTTGCCCAGATTGCGTATCGCTTGTCAGTGCACCTATAGGGATGGCCGGATAGGGACTAAAATCTAAGATATTCTTTTAGATTGCGCATTTGTTTTATTTCATGAGTTTGACATTATTAACCCGCCATGTCAAAGTTCATACTTAATTTCCTTTTTAGTTGACAAATGATCATCTATTAACTACATATACATTATCATACTGATGGTTAAACGTTGAGGCGTACAAGAAATGGGGCATACTTAACTCGAGTAATTCCAAACATTCCAAGAAATGGATCTTTCTTTTCCTGGGATTGGTACATGCTCTGACATTTGAATTTGCATCCTAAACGCTGTTGAAAAGATTCAGTGATTTCGATTGCCAATTGCAAATTACTCCTATAATCCTTAATATAAAACCTATTTAACTAATTAGATTAGATTAAAAAAATTAGTTAAATTAGTTAATTATAAAAAATATGAATTTTTTTCCTAAAACACTATAATTATCTTTCCTAATATTCCCTCTCTCACTTACTTAATTATGATTAACGCTATTTTAGAAAAATTAATAAATATAAAAAATAATTTTATATTTAGAATTAAAATTAACTTAATAATTAGGTCTTACATTAAAAATTGAAAGAGTATTTGAATAATTCAGAAACATGGCGAAAACCAGAACAGTCATTTCACCCAGTCATAAACCAGTAATTAAATTTAGACTTTCAAAAGCCACTCGGAAAGGGATTCCGAAAAACTTGGTAAGCCCAAAGGTCCCACGTATGCGGAAAGAGGAGTAGGACAAAGCAAAAGGCCAGGCATGATAATGCGGAGGTAGGGTCACCATGGCAATAGATAGGGCTTGAGGAGTGATTGATGTGGAAGACGATCCTCTCTTTTTCTCACCGTCCAGAAGCATTTTCATTACAATCTCAATAAGATATCACAGAACAGGAAGCAAATCTATAAGATATCATTATTTGCGTGCTAACACATACGACGTCAGGTAGTCCAGAATATTACTTCCCGTTTCTTATTATAAGAGACGAATAACCGAATTACATTAATAAAAAAAACAGTTAAATTAGTTAAAAAATCAATGCGTAAAAAGTAAAAAGTAATTTTTTTCAAAAAGCGACCTCATTAATAAGGAAAGAGAGCATGAGAAAGAACAATTAAATTATTAAAAGAAAGAAATGGGAGGGAGAGAATGTGTGAGTTGGAGACAAAATGTAGGTAAAATAGAAAACAAAAAAAAAATAAAACAACTTTTAAGTGTCTCTTATATATAAAAACATGCTATAAGTATCAAATGTCTTTTATAATAAGAACGAAGGCAGTACTTGCTAAAAAATTTTGCCAACCAGAATAACTGTAAAGATACAAAATATCCCTCTTGTAAGGTTTCTTAGTGCTCCAATTATTGTTTCATTCGATGACAACTTCCCACACCAAATTGAGAAAATAAAAATTAAGAGATTCTTATGTACAAATATATTTTGACGCCCATTCAGATCTTTTGAGGCATTCCCTTCGCAGTTATCTGTACACGTGTTATAAATAATAACAAATGAAATCAAATATTTAAAAAAAAAAATCAAATAAACGACATTTTTGCAAACCAGCAAACCGGATTTGTAAGGCTTTCCTCAAGACTAGGGGAATATCTGCTGAATGACTGTCTCTGCATTGCCATTGTATTGTGCGAGCAGATGAATAGCATCTGCTCTAGGCAAAGCCAAAAACTCCTGCATTCATCCACAGACCCAAATATGAAAAATTGAAAATATGACGTGATTGTAAAATATTTCAAAAGAAAACTCTTAATAACTGTTGGGGAAAGAATGACAGGAGATCCATATTAAGAGGGGAAAAAGGAATAAGCAGGAGATTTTTGTTTGGAAGAATGGATGGCACGACCAAGACTGGTACTAAAGCATAAACCAGGGCGCTGCACGGAACTCACAACAAACATGTGACATAAATCCGTCGGCATACGGCTTTAGACTCATATGCACGGCTACAATTACAAATGAGTTCTAAATGATTGCTTGTGCTTCAGTTATTGAGTATAAACCTTGTGCTGCCAACGAGAAATTTTTGAACGACTCAAATGACTTGAGTTGCCATTATATAAGGGACCCGACTAAATCATTGTTTTGAACACTGTTGTAAATGACAGAAAATTTCTCCTGCATGCGATTTGCAAGGTAAGACAG